ATATCACATAGTGTCAGCTCTACACCCTATTAGTCTGTGCAAATAGCTCCATTAATATTACATCACAGGCATGATTGAACACAACTCTTCCAGGTCAAAGGTCATTCACTCGCACAGATGAGGCTCAGGCCATTCAGAATGTTTGTTAGCTATAAATGAATCTCAGTAAACTCAGAATAATATTTGTCACTCGTCCACTAATTACCACAAAGAGAGGCAGATAATCGGAGTCATCCTCAACTGTTCAGATGGAGATCTGGTCCAATCGCTCCAAGGGATCTGAGGGGCAGTTTTAATTTCCCCACATGCGATGTATTGTTGTCACTAATGGAGCCATTTTTTCTTTTTAGTGTGTGGAATCTAATTTGCATAAAATTTAACAAAGAGCTTAGGAAACATTTCTAATCTCTATGCTGACCTCTGGCTGTGAATCAGAGTCTGAGTGAATCCACAGCCAGATTGAATGAAATCCTTCTGTGTGGCTCCTTTCATTAAAATGAATGAAGCCTATTAGAGACAGATTAAAAGCTTCAGATGCCACCAGCGTCTGCATTCTCTCTCTGTGGTTGCGGGGGGGAAATAAAAATGAGGGAAGTTGGTTTAGGTGTCGACGTGATGTGAAATGACAGCGGCTGCTCGTCGATGGCAGAAGTCCGCTCAGGAAGACTCATCCCCCATTACGTCGTTTGTCACACGGAATGTGAAAATCCAACTCCGATGACTTCGCATTCAAGGTGTGAGCCCCAGCGTAAGTTGGAAAGTAGTCCATGTGAGATGTTTTTGTTTAAAATTTGGTTTTGGGTATTTGCTGCACCTTTATCCCCAGTTTCAAAACAAAAGGTTTAAAATGTAATCAGAGGGAAACATCTCATGATCCTACTTTACACTTTTGTGAGTGCGCACAACCCTGCTTACATACCAGCCACTCAAACAAAGATGGCCTCCAGGCGGAGGAATGCCACGGTCAAGCTGTTAGTGTATGCATGTGTGAGTTGTGGTTAGTTCTGAACAAAATGAGGAAAAATATGTTTTGCCAGCAATGCCATGCCTTCTACATCTAATCAGAGCACATCAAAATAAAGAGCTGAATACTGCTACAGATGGCCAATGAGAGGAAAACATGGTAAATAAACATAAATAAGCTCAAGTTCATACATGATGTGAAATATGAGCTTCGTGAAGAAATGATAGGATGGCGGCCATGCATAAGCACTCCAATAAAAGCACTTTAAAGGCTTTTATTTGGCCAGGCTGCAGCAGCGGTGCTTCTTACCTGAGAGGGGAGCCCTTAGGTGTAGCGATGCCATAACCTTTGGAGTCCAGGTTTCCCCCCACCTTCATGGTGTCGCAGGGTTTCCTTTGCTCGATATACTCGTTCATCGTGGACTCCAGCAGGTAGGCGTACTTGCCCTTGGACCTTCTGACTCTCATCATTCCCTCATCCGTTGTTTTTACAAACACAGATGGGTCAGCCGACTTCATGTAGGACCACATCTTCTCGAACACGGCGATTTTTGAGCTCTGGCGGGCAGGATTTTTAACAAAGGAACTGTCAGTTGAAATTGTTCGACTAAAAATGTGACTTGTTGAGAAATAAAATGATATCATTTTCACAGTTATTTCACATTCTTCTACAATAAAACTCAATATCACTGTGCTGGCTCAAGAAAACATTTATTTCCTTCAACATTTTTACTAGAACTACTGTATGTATGATTCTTCTTAAGGGGTTTTAAAAGTAATTTCCACCTGAAAATACACAGCAAAATAAAGCAAGAATAGCTCCACAGTTATAAGGTCTAAATGCTAACTCTTGGTACCTCTGTAAATGTAAGATCTTAAAGGTAATTTCTTAAGTGAAACCACTATTGTAACCCTTACTATGACTGAGTTATTTGTGATTAAATAAAGAAAATTTGTATTTTTTTAGCCTCATTAATTTATTTTAAATCAACAGTGCAAAACACTATAAAAATTCTTGTGAAAACCCAGGAATGCCCTTAGATTTTATACACCTATATCCTGAGAAAATTTGTAGCAAAGTAGGAGTGAATAAGTTGAAGTATATTCATTTCACAAAGGTTTTAGTGAGCAGTGTGCCAGGCAGAAATGGCATTTTGGCACAATTTAGCCAAATGTACCCAAAACTGTGCCAAATGCGGTTTTTACTCTATAAAAGAGAATCTGGTCTAATTAAAGTGTTGATTTCTATTGTACGACTCATTCTGCATATGACATAACTTTTTATTTTTACATTTACACTGCATCATCAAAATCTACCACTGTGCACACCATAAAATCACTGAATGGAAACTAACTCCGCCTCGACGTTTTACACATGAGGGCCGTTATTTATACTCTTGGTTACGTACAAACTTCATGTCACCAAACAAAGAGTAACACGGTGTCAAGATATATCCCTGAATTCGTGAGAGCTTCGTCTTTTCAAAGATACCAAAGGGAGTGGTATGGAACCAAAACTTGCACAGCAACAGATGTGGAGAACTTCCTGATACTGAAATGGTCCACTACAGTTCAAGTAACTTATAAATGTTTATATAGCTCTAAAATCGTAAATATTTATCCAAAAATAATTTGGCGACTCATTTTAAAAACAATAAAGACACCTTTTGTGATGGACTTAGAAAAAATTTGGGAAAAATAAGTTTTACACCTACTTTAGTAAACAACAATGAATGACACCATCTGCTGTCCAACAGGTTTTCATTATTACAGGGGAGTCAGAAGTTTCAGGATACCCATTTAGTTCAGAAACAAAAGGGGGAAATGACATAGCCTTGCAAGTCATGGGTGAGGAGGGCCTATATTTTAGGCAGTGTTTGGAACATGGCCACCATCTTGAAAGCTACCATACTGGATCAACGTCTTTTTTTTTCCAATGGGAAGAGGGTTGTGTAGTATATCAAAGAACAGAATTGTCTCAAAAAATGAATTGCTGCAGTCAGATGTGCAATATCACTTGTGGTTCAAAAGTTAACACAGAACATTAAAAACTTTTGTTGTTCATCTCAGGTAAGCTAGGTTTTAAACACTGACGACATAAAAGGGTCTCCAAGATTTTTTTTTTCCCCTTGGACTGCTCAGAGCCAGGCAGTGGCCTAAGCAGTGCATAGATGCTTCTACGTCTCTCGCAGGCATCACACAGACCATTGCCATGGAGTTCCATCACCATTTTGTGGTGGACAAACACTGTGGTCTACAGTCCGTGTTCACGTCTGATCCAGGCCTGTAGGGAAGTCCTACAGACTGTTGTTGAAATACCTACAACAGGCTCTGGTCCTTTAAAGTGGACCTGACTGCCTGCTTTTGCAAGGTAGTCAGCTCTCTTGTTACCATTAATGCCAGTATTTCTGGTACCCATTGAACAGTAACACTGTTATCTCTCCCCAGTTGGTTGCCTGTTTGGCACACTCCCAAACTAGTATTTGCAATTTTCTATGTTGATAACTTTGACACTCCAACATTTCACCTCATCCAGTATTTTCTGGATGAGGTTCCATAATTCATAATCGTCAAAATTCACAAAATACACCAGATAAACAGAAAAAATAAATTCAATAGCAATGCGGGTTTGTTTAAATCGAATGTCGTCTGACTCAACCCATTATGCTGTGTGCGCAGAAAACTACCAAATGGTCTATACTAGGTTATCTTCAAAGAATTCTGTTGGTAAAAGGCACGATTTGTCATAAACATTTGTCAATATGGATTTCTTACCCTGAAGAACTCTTTGGTGGAACCTGCTTCTAACGTTCCATAGGCAATCTCTGTCTGCTTAGCCAGATCCTCAGCACTCTCTATAGGAGACACCATCCTCTCCACTGTCAGGAAGGCAGCCAAGTTGGCAGTGTAGGAGGAGATGATGATGAGGGTGAAGAACCACCAGACTCCACCCACTATGCGGCCGGACAGGGACCTAAAAATGGATGCAAATTATATACAGAGTGTAAAATATAAAGTATTGACAGAGTTTTGATCAATGGGGCGGGATCAGTTTTATGTTAATGCGAGAACAGAGCATAGCATCAGTCTTTTCTTCATGGTCAATTTTCCATGTAATCAGTAAGAGCAATCTTAAACCCTTGTGATGTTCACACCATCCAAGTGACCTACATTGCATCGCACCCTCTCTGCACTCACACAGTCTTCATTTCACCAAGGCTGGGAGAGCTTAGCCCAGTCTGCTGAGGAAAGATAACCAGCTCCACAAAGGCCCACTCAGCTTCCTGCCTGCCAAATTAATCTCACTTTAAGAAAAGTTGCCAATATGTTTAATGGAATCACGCACATTAATTGTTGGGGATTAATAAGCAGAGGAGAACACTTAACCACTGCTCTAATTACACTTTGGAAATATAAATAAGTAAAAAAAAAAGTTGAGTAAAATCCTTCAAGTAAACCTCTAGTCTTTCCTATGTGTGTCTCACTTCGCAAAAATAAAAAAAATAAAATAAATAAAAAAGAAAAAGCCAGCTTGAACGTCAACAGCAAAACTCATGCTGCGATACATCCAACAGACATTGTGGCCAAGAGTGACTGAGCTCGTGCAATGAAAAAAATGGGGGCTTTCATAATGCACCTTTGTACCGTCAAACCAAATGGAGTGTGAACATAAAAACGAGATTAAGTACATAGAGACAAAAAAAATATAAGAAAAAAAAGAAAAGAAAAAACAGGATAGCTGAAATCTAATTGTTTAAGATGCCCCCCAGATGATGGGTGGATGATGAAAGAGCAGCAGCAGGGAGAAAGCTGAGTGGATGCTGAGCCTTTGAAAGCCACGAAGCCGAGCTGTTTGCCTAGTTTGTGTGTGTGTGTGTGTGTGTGTGTGTGTGTGTGTGTGTGTGTGTGTGTGTGTGTGCGTGTGTGTGTGTGTGCTTGTATGACTTGTCACGTCTGAATGTTTGACTCCAGAGATCACTGTTGAAATGGGCGACACTGAAGTTAAGACTTGACTCTGCAGCAAAAAATAAAAATGAGGATCAAAAACCATTATTTTAGTCATAGACAGCCAGAAAAAGAAGATGCAGTCAATCAAATTCTCATACAACAGATTGGTCTGCTACAAATCTTCTGAAAAAGAAAAACCAACAACAGGAATCATGCACTTTTTATGGTAAGAAAACATAAAATATAAATGAAATATTCAATTCCTACAGCTGTGAAAATTGGGCGATCACAAAATGGCCATTTGCTTGTTTATTTCTCTGTGAGCAAAATACCTCAGGAACTGGAAAACAGACTTTTTCCTCTGAAGGTAATCATAAAATTTACAACTAAGCTCAACAATTCAAAACCAACCTTATACAACACAAATGACTATAACACAATATACTTTACAACTTTTGAGCCAATTGCATTCCATCCCTTATACACCGTTTGCTTACTGGTGTGTGTAATCATAAATTAAACCACTCTAAATAAGGCAAATGTTGACCTTTGACATGTTGAACAGGCTTACATTAGTGAGTTACTCAGATTAACCTTCATACATAAAATCAACCAAATTTACCAACTCTGATATTAACAGAAAGGCGGAGGATCCATGTGATTGTGCATGCCTTTACTGCTGGCTGTTTCAGGAAAACACACCTTATTTGAGAGGAAGTCTATTTGCAGCTTCCCTTAAAAACAGACTGTCTTTCTGCTCCCTCCATAACTGCACTTTGGTTGCATGCACATTGAATCTGCACATGGACCCTGACCAATAGCAGAGGAGCTGACCCAAGAAGCTCCGCCCACCCTATTTGCATAACGAGGCAGAAATGCATAAGTAAAGTAAAAACAGGAGAAAAAACACATTGAAATAAATAGAATTGCAGGGAAAAAAAACAATATTTAAAGAAAAACATTCAAGAGACACAAAAACATCTTTTAAAAACAGCTAAATTTAAATTATGTGCTAAAATATATAATTTAATGAATCTAAGCTGGACAAATAAATATGAATGTCAATTAAATTATAAAACATGAGGTAAAGTTCTCATTTTTTAAACTAATTGGTGAATTCTAAGTGTATTTATTTACTGGGTCATTTATTTATTTCTGCTTTTATTTTTAATTAAGTCATTTTCGGTCCTCCATGGTTTTACGCATTTATATTTAGGATTTAWTATTTACATATATTTTTTCACATTTAAATAAAATAAGTTGCAAAAAATTTTCAACATGTAAGAACAGTGAGCAAAAAAAAAGTTTAGTGGAAAATTTTCAACATTCAGAAAGTGAGCTATATAATGAAAAATGTGACAGTGACGTTTTTTAACATTTTATTTCACACTTGGCGCCCCAGATGCCCGCCCATCCTGAGCCTGTTTCAGCTGGAGGTTTCTTTCTGTTAAAAAGGAGATTTTTCTTTCCACTGCTGCCAATGTGCTGCTCATGATGGGAGACTTCAAGACAGTGATTCAACACAATCTGCTGACTGCCTTAGATTGTTTTTTTGTGGTGCCCTGAAATGTCTGTTGCAACTTGGCCTTATATAAATAAAATGAACTGAAATGAATTGCCACCTGACGATGGGAGGATTAAAACATCACATGTAATTGTATATTTTAGTGTTAGGACAACCTGTTTCATTTACAAAAAAAAAAAAAAAAGACATCATAAAATACATAATGAGTGGCCATGAGATAATTTTGAACAGCCCAATCAAATGTCTGTTTGAGAGAGATACAGACATTGTTGGAGTCAGATTATATAACAGTACCCCACACTTATTTTTGGCATATTTTTAATCTACTAATATTTACAAGATGACAGTTAACTTCCTAGGTGTACGTCAGGGAATTTTTTTTACTGTCTTCCTGAATGTGACATAACGTTCTGCAGCAAAGACATGGGATGTGAGCGGAGCCCATTTGAAGTGTAGAGCTTCAAAAAAGGTTTTGTACAACTCCAGTTCACTTGTACAAGGCTKTCTTCATGCCTAACTCTAATATGCCATGGTAATTCATTCCTGCATTAATACAAAACTGAATTATTTTAAACTTGTTCGTGGTAACAATCAACATGCTCTGCATGGAAATGGCTTCAGTAATTGTGGCCATACGTTATTATCTCGTGGCCACGCATTCATTTTTTTCCCAATCCAATGTCACTGGACAGGCCCTGTAGCTCAGCAACTTTGCTTTAGTTGGGTTATATTTTAAAGTCCATAAAACTTTGCAGTAACGGTTATTACCCATGCAAGTGTTCAAACTACACTACCTGGCCAAAACAAAAGGTCACCTTGGGTATAACTAAGCAAACAGTAAGTGCCCCCCATTGCATAATTACTGCATGGGTGATTGTTTCAGCTAACAAATGATTTAACCCTAACTGATGCACTGATTAGCTTCTCATTTGTTAAACAACTTTGTTAAACAACTATGTTAACCTGTTTCAGAAGGGTCACATTATTGGCATCAAGCAGAGAAAACATGTAAGGAGATCGTTGAAAGTACTTGAGGTTAAGAACTATGCAACAAAGGACATGTGTCCAGATTTACCCTGTTCCAGAGTGATGATGGGAGCATCAGGATAAGAAGAGAGGCAGCTGAAGTGATGCATCCTTCATTTCTAGTTTACTGTATAAGCCTGTGAGGGCAGGTGGTAGTTTCATCAACATTATTACTGGTAGCATGATAGCTCAGTGGTTAGCACTGATGTCTCATAGCAAGAAAGTTTGATCATGTTCCATCCATGGTTTGAACCTGGGGTCTTTTTTTGCAGAGTTAACAAGTTCTCCACATGTTAGTGTGGGTTTTCTTTGGGTAAACTCCAGTTACCTCCCACAGACAAAAAACATGTACAGTAGGTTGTCTTCAGGCCAAAGCCTCCCTTGCACAAAGATCTTTGATCTTTAAGGGACTTGGCTCTTTAAACTAGATACCGCATAGCGGTAACATAATGACCCCCGCACACAGAAATGCACCAGAACTCAGAAGTCTTTATTCCTAATAAATTTCATGCTACTAGGTGCATCCTAAAATTGTAGTGGTTTGGGTGGGGGCACTTTTTTTTGGGGGGGTGACCTGAAGGATAGCCCCTCATCAGAGCTAAACAACCAATGAAAATCTGAAGCTTCTATGTTTAATAGTTTTTCAGCTATAGCCATTTATATGTGTCCAGATACCCATTTTTCAGATAAATTGGGGGTCCAGGGGATGGTGAGGGGTGGGGGTGGGGCACTGGTTGGTAGGCCTGATAGAGCTTCATCAGAGCTAAACAACAAAAGAAATCTGAAGCTCCTATGTTGAACAGTTTGAGTTATAAGCGTTTTTGCATGTCCAGACACCCCCACTTTGAAAGGAGCCCCCTCCTCAAATATGGGGTCTATCGTCAAACCATTGGCTGGTGCAGTGTAGGTCAGACTCATCTACAGCCCTGCCAAATTTCATGTTGATTGGTGCTGCCTTCTTAGTGCTACGGTTGACCAAAAATCACAGAAAAAAAAAACAGTACGAAAACAATGACTCCCGCTTACGCTTCGCACGCGTGGGGTCATAATTACCCCCATTAAGAATTGTTGAGACGTGCTGGAGAAGACTTTTCGCAGTGGTCCGAATCTCCAGTCATCAACACAAGATCTTGGCAAAAATTTAAACCTTGGGACAAAAAAGAAATGTAAGATTGCAGAAATTTGTGAAAACGATGCCACAGCAAATTAATGCTGTAATCAAAGCTAAAGGAGGTCCAACGAAATAGGTAGGCAGTATATTTTATAACCTCTGGACAATATTCTTGTTCCAACGTAAGAAGCAGATTGAGAGAGCCCAGGAAACATGTGGTTGTTTTGTGTGGGTGAACCAGTGATGGAAGTGAGAAGGACATGGAAGCGTGGTAAAGACACAGGGTAGAGATGAAAAGCAAACTGGACAGAATCACCAGAAGCAAACAAATTTCTCAGCTTTGACTGCTGCTGGCCTCCAGAGA